ATTTTGAGTAGTTTCCGTACTTCCACTAAAGAATTATGTTGAAAGAACACTTTTACTTGTACTCATGTCAATTTTTTTATCTAGTACTTGTACTTCTACTCCACACTTTTGACTGCCTTTTTTAAATATTTTTTACTTTTGCTTATACTTGCACTTTGCTCCTTGAGAAGTACTTTTTGAAATACTTCTACTTGCAATACTTAAATCCGTACTTCCACTTAAGTATGGTGTTGAAAGAACACTTCTACTTTTACTCAAGTCAATTTTTTTATCTAGTACTTGTACTCCTACTCCAGTACTTTAATCTCTACCTGAAACAGACCCAAACATCAGGCACGCGCCTTTAGAGGGCCGGAAACTCCCGGAAGTCTTCAGATTTTTCACCTGAGTCCATTTGTAGATAAAGTGCTGTTGATGCTAATGCAGATGTAGTTTTCTGTTTTTTGTAAACACCTGTATGGCCTTTCACACATTTGAAATTATATAAACAATATCTATCAAGCCTTTTTTAATATACACAGTACTTGTACTTTTACCTATACTTGTACTTTTAATACTTGAGTAGCAATTTTTTAAATACTTCAAATAACATAAACAATATCTAGCAAACTTTTGACTGCCTTTTGTAATATTTTTTACTTTTACTTCTACTTGTACTTTGCTGCTTGAGTAGCAATTTTTGAAATACTTTGACTTGTAATACTTATGTACAAAAAAAAAAAGAGTACTTTTTTAATATACACAGCACTTGTACTTTCAGTTATACTTTTACTTTCAATACTTGAGTAGCATTTTTTGAAATACTTCTACTTGGAATACTTAAGTACAAAAAATATTGAGTAGTTTCCGTACTTCCACTTAAGAATTATGTTGAAAGAACACTTCTACTTTTACTCAAGTAAATTTTTTTAGATAGTACTTGTACTTCTACTCCACTCCTCTACTCCAGTACTTTATACATCTCTACTCAGGACGTAGCAGCTAACATTAGCTAAAGCTAACCTAGCTTCTGTTTTTGTAAACACCTGTACGGCCTTTCACACGTTTGAAATAATATAAACAATATCTATCAAACTTTTGACTGCCTTTTTAAATATTTTTTACTTTTACTTATACTTGTACTTTGCTACTTGAGTAGCAATATTTGAAATACTTTGACTTGTAATACTCAAAAAAAATTGAGTACTTTTTTAATATACACAGCACTTGTACTTTTACTTACACTGTATACTTTCGATACTTGAGTAGCAATTTTTTAAATACTTCTACTTGGAATACTTAAGTACAAAAAATATTGAGTAGTTTCCGTACATCCACTTAAGAATTATGTTGAAAGAATACTTCTACTTTTACTCAAGTCAGTTTTTTTTATCTACTTGTATTTCTACTCCAGTACTTTGATCTCTACCTGAAACAGACCCAAACATCAGGCACGCGCCTTTAGAGGGCCAGAACGCGCCCGGAAGTCCTCAGATTTTTCTCACCTGAGTCCGTTCCTTTCCCGGTAAACTTCCCCGGGTCCAGGATGTCCTCCACGGTGAACGGGGTCCTGCGGGTTTGCGGGAGTTTTGGTTCCGGGAGCGCGTGGGTTTTCATGTCTGCGCGCGTGGAGGACGCAGGTGCCAGTGTCCCGACGGCCACGCGCTCCTGGGATTTATCCGCGAACCACGCACGCGCCGCAATTTACATTTGACTTCAAATGAGGTGATTCGTCTTTATGGGAACAATTGGCGTCTTTGTGCACGCGCAGGCCACGTGCGGGACCCCCTGTTGTTGCGTCATAATAACAAGGGGCTGTAAGGTTTATGATGCTAAATAAAATAAATGACATGTACTGCATTGTGTGGTCATTATAATGCTTTAAAATGTAGTATATTCACATTTTTAACCCTGTAATGCCAAATGCATCATATCTGATTCATACGGTTTCTGAAATGTTTTTTTTTGCATAATTTAATGGCAAAAACTTTGCTCAAAATCCTATTGTACACAATCAGATACACCTGATAACAGGGGGCAGAAGACTACACAAAACATAATCTGGATTTATTGCATAGTAATAAATGACTAATATTAAAAATGTGTTTCTGTGTTTCTTCAAACCAGAAAAAGTAATTTTCTGTTTTGTTTTATTCTTGGATCAGGCTTTAAAGGGTTAAACGTATTTGATTTATAATCTTACATTTGGACTATTGTACTTTCAAGTAGAATCCACTAGACATTTCCAGTTTGATAACTTAAACCATTTAAGTGTGTATTAATGTTAAATTAAGACTATTGAACATTTAAGTTGACTAAACCTGACCCTTTAAAGCCTGATCCAAGAAAAATAGGAAGAAAATGTGTCTTTTTTTAGTCTGAAGTCTTTCTTTGGCCCCTCAACAACATATGAAGAAAAAAAACAGAAATTATTTTGATCAAATTAATGTGCAATAAGTCAAAAATGTATATTGGTGTAGTCTTCTACTGGCTGTTATCAGGTATATCTGAATGTGTACAACAGGGGTTTGAGCAAAGCTTTTACCACTGAATGATGCAGAAAGTCTCACATCCAAAAGAAACCGGATCAGATATGACACATTTGGCTTTATAGAGTTAAGATGTTTTTAGCTAATATGTCTCAGTTTTCTCTTGCCCTTTACCCAGTTTGGAGGAATGTTATTTCTTCTCTTAGTATTTCAACATGTGCATCTCAATAATTAATCATTTTTGGAGTTATTAGAGGAAAAAAATGCCTTCTCGGGGTAAAAACGACCCGTTACCTGACCAGGTGCTGTATTTTCTGTAGGAACTAAGTGAGCTCATCGGACCAAACTGCAGTTTATCAGAATCAGAATCAGAATCAGAATCAGAATCAGAAATACTTTAATAATCCCAGAGGGAAATTTTTTTTGTTACTGGCTCCATAAATAAAACAACGACATATTCATACTGTATATACATGTTTATACATATATATATGTATACAAAATTCACATATAATATGACAAAATATATAAATGAATAACTATATATATATGTATATATATATATATATATATATATATATATATATATATATATATATAGGTCTAAATAAGTGGTGGTGATAATGTCAATGGTTAAGTTATATGTTCGGCTTTAAAAGTTTAATAGTAGGGACTTCCGGTTGAGACTTTCGGAGATGGCAGCTTAAGCGGACTACTCCTCCAGTAAATCTTAATTTGACCCCCACTATTTGCCAAATATAACGAAAAATGAGTAAAATGGAGTCTGTAAGGGGGTCTAAAATGGGGAAAAGGGACGGGAATAGAAAAACCACGAACGAAGACTTGGCACAAGAAAGAAAGACGGCAGGTAGCTCATCAATACATCAGCTCCCTGACGAAGCTAATGCTAATCCGCTATCCACTGATGCGACAGGACTAACGCAAATTCTGGGGGAGTTACGAGATTTCCGAAAAGATATGAAACAACAGTTTGATGACATTAAGTCAGAACTTTTCAACGTACACCAGAAAATTAAGGAGACGGAAGACCGAGTTGATTTGGTGGAGGAGCGGGCAGAGAACATGGAACAGATATTGAGCAAGATGACCGAACTAATTAGCCAACAACAAGAAAAACTGCTCGACCAGGAAGGGAGATCACGAAGAGAAAACATACGGATATACAACGTGCCAGAGGGAGCAGAAGGATCGTCGATGAGAGATTTTGTGGACAAATTACTTAAGGACACCCTGGAGATTGAACCAACTATGGAATTGGACATAGAGAGGGCTCACCGAGCGCTGGCTCCGCCACCCGCCGGGGACAGAAACAACAGACCGAGATCCATTGTCGTTAAGTTTCTCCGCAGCAGAACCAAGGAGGAGATTTTACGGAAAGCGTGGGGGAAGAAAGGCGTGCTTCTACACGGCAAACCGATATATTTTGATCATGATTATCCTCCCACAGTGCTGCAGAAACGTAAAGAATACTCGGAGGCCAAACGGATCTTGAAGCAGAAAAAGATCCGATTCCAATCCCCTTTCCCCGCTAAACTACGAGTCTTTTACGAGGGGGAAACACGGCTTTACCAGACAGCGGCAGAGGCGACGAAGGACATGAAGGAGCGCGGTTTGCCTGTCCCCCTAATCAAGCCAAAGGAGAGCCTGGCTGAGCAGCTGTCCCGCACCGCTTGGAAGAAAATCGGCTCGAAACAAGCGTCAGGAGAGGAGCGAGAGATGAGTATCAGAGAAAGACTGAGTGAGTTTAGAAGAGAAACTAGTTCTCTCCAAGAAGAGCTCTGAAGAGATGCATTAATAATCGGTAAGCTAAATAATCACTAAGTAATCAATAAGATACTAACTGTGAGGACAATGTATCTCGGATAGTTCGACTGCTCTGTATTACGGACATTTTTGTTGTGATATTGAATATATTCCCTAGCCCCAACCTAGATGAGAAATAATAAATGTACCGAGGAGGAATGGACACAAAATGGACAGAAACAGCTTTAGCGTAGTTGGGGGCCCTCCCCTCTTTTCTAAGGGAGGTCTTCCCCCAGGGCTAGATGGTTTTCCTAGCCAAGTTCAGGGTCATTTGTTCAGGACCCCAACCTTGGAATCTCAAGTTTGTTTTCTTTTCTTTACGGTTAAGTTATTGTTTACATTTGCTCAGAGAGTGGATTGGTTAAGCTTTGCTATCAGACATCTAAAAATGATCAACAAGACAACCAGACATGGCTAACAGTAAGATAAATATAATTACTTTTAATGTTAATGGTCTACTTAATCCAATTAAAAGAAGCAAAATCTTGTCAAAAATGAAAAAGGAACAGGCCCACATAGTGTACTTACAAGAAACCCACCTGAACAAAAGTGAACATGAAAAACTAAGAAGAATGGGTTTCAACCAATTGTTCTTCTCCTCATACAGATCTGGACATAGAAGGGGAGTGGCTACCCTCATCTCAAATAAGATACATTTTGAAAAATTATATGAACTGGCGGATAAAGAAGGCAGGTTTGTGCTTGTGAGAGGCAATGTGGGGGGAAACCTGGTTACATTATTCAATATATATGCTCCTCCAGGGAGCAACATTGATTTTTTCAAGAAATTAACTAATATACTGGTAAAAGAAACACAGGGTGTTCTGATTTGTGGAGGAGACTTAAACATTCGTTTACAACCAAAGATGGATTCTTCCAGGGAGAAAGCCTACCAGAAAGAACAGCAATACAAAAAAATAAATATACTACTTAAGGAAGTTGGCCTGATAGACATATGGAGGGACTTTTACCCCAGGAAAAAGGACTATACACATTATTCAGCCACTCATTCAGTGTACACTAGAATTGATTATTTTTTGACATTTGCAAAAGACAGAGACAAAATAGACAGATGTGAGATTGGAACAATAGACGTGAGTGACCACTCACCTGTATACCTAACAGTGGACCTAAGCCTACAAAAAAGAAATAATATATGGAAACTAAATTCAGGCTTGCTTAATAACCAGTGGTTCAAACAGGAAATACGGAAGGAAATTGGTTCTTTCTTAGATCTCAATGACAATGGAGAAGTATCTCCTCCGATATTATGGGACACTCTTAAAGCGGTTCTGAGGGGAAAAATTATAGCAATGTCATCGCACCTAAAAAAACTAAGAAATAAAAGATCAGAGGAATTACATAAAAAATTGGAAGATCTAGAACAAAAACATAAACAAAATTGTACACCAGATATACTGGAAGATTTAAAGAGAATTAGAAATGAAATAAATGATATGGCAACACAGGAAACTATGAAAAACCTTATGTTTCTTAAACAAAGACACTATGAAGGCGGATCAAAATCTATGAGGGTCCTAGCATGGAAACTAAAAAAGAAAACAGCAGAGAATACAATCCATAGAATCAGAAACCCCAAATCAAAATTATTACAGAACAAATCAAATGACATTCAGGAAGCATTTGAAATATTTTACAAGACCTTATATTCAAAAATCTCTGGAGGAACTATAGAAGAAATTGATAATTATTTGAACTCACTAGAGCTGCCTAGTATGAACGAGGAACAGAATGAAATAATGACATCAGACATTACAGAAAAAGAATTGAAAAACACATTAAGTAGATTAAGACCATGTAAATCACCTGGGTCGGATGGATACACGGCAGAATTTTATAAGGAATTTCAGAAAGAGTTGATTCCAATCCTCCTCCCTTCACTAAATTGGATTCTGAAAAAAGCTCAAACACCTCCGAGCTGGAAGGAGGCAATTATCTCAGTAATACATAAAGAGGGCAAAGACAAACTGGATTGTGGCTCATACCGACCGATATCTGTTTTAAATATTGATTACCGACTTTTTACTTGTATAATGGCCAGACGATTAGAAGAATTTCTCCCTTCCGTAATACATAACGATCAAACTGGTTTCATAAGACAACGTCAAACACAGGACAATATAAGAAGGACGCTACATGTTATAGATCACATACAAAAAAATAAACTGGAAGCCATTATTATCAGCATAGATGCGGAAAAAGCATTCGACTCAGTGGATTGGAATTTTCTCTTCAGGGTTTTGCATAGATTTGGACTACATAATACAATAATAAAAACAATAC